ACCTTTTTAGTTTTTGTTTTTTATAACTTTTTCAAAAACTTTGTTATTTTAATGAATTACAGAGTAATCCTATCATTCATTCATTTTATATTTATTTCAAAGGCTTTACATATTTATTATAAAGGATATAACATTTACATTTATAAATTAAAATCATGATAATACTTATGGCAAATAACTTAGAACTTAATCTTTAATATAATGTATATTTATTACTAAAACACAATATTTTTCTCAACAGTTATTTTAATCGTTGGCTTTAAAACATCACAATAAAGAAGAAGAAAACGACAGAATATTCTTCACGTTTCAATGGGATTAACGGCAAGTGTTGGATAAATAACACCACAGTTTGCATGAGCCATAAACCCAGTCGACCGACCCGTCAGTGTTTTATGTTAATACTGGTTGAGTGGCCACAAAAGACTCAGCGAAACACTAACGGCAACACAAAAACAGTTAATCGTATTAATGGTCTCCTGTTATGGCTGCGGACCGTATATATCAAGCGCTTGAGTGATGACTATTAGCCAAACGATAGCACAGAATCGCACAGACTTTAGCGCCGGGTTGTTGTTTGACGACTATTTATGGTCTCATGATTTTTTCGTCAACACCACAGTCGGCGTTAATGTGTCGCTCATTATAGCCAACAGCGCCGGTGTTGTGGGCATTGGCGGCGCCGACACTAGTCATGAGAGTATCGCCGGTATGGCTATCGGCGGCGGCGTTGAGGGTCGGGTTGTGTCCGCCGACGGCCTGTTCAACGACACCGTCAACGAAGTGCACAAAGAGTTATACAAGAATAGCGTGTTGTTTATCGTGTCGACGAGTATTATACTGACAGTACTGACCATTTGTACGGTTTTGGGCAATATATTGGTGATCGCGGCCGTACTCCTGGAGCGCAATCTGCGCACTCCGGCCAACTATTTGGTCCTATCGCTGGCTGTGGCCGACTTCTTGGTGGCGTGTCTGGTCATGCCGTTGGGCGCCTTCTACGAGATTCAGGGCCAGTGGACGCTCGGAGACATGTTGTGCGAGTTCTGGACCAGTTTGGATGTGCTCTGTTGCTCAGCCAGGTATATACCCAAATGCATAATTATATTTTTGTTCATAAACACATGTCACATAAAACTGATTTATATCATGTTGTATTATTAAATTGCATTGTTATTATGGTTTATGGCCACTCTACCTAATAATGCGACACTGAATCCCTGGCCCATCGCTTATAGTATATTGCATTTGTTGGCCATCGCTGTGGACCGGTATTGGGCGGTGACTAACATTGATTACATACACCAACGAAACGCCAAACGCATCGGTCTATTGATTGTGAGCATTTGGTCGGTGGCGGCCATTATAGCACTGGCGCCCAATTTCGGGTGGAAAGACGCCGACTTCAAAGACCGGATCAGAATCGACAAGATTTGTATCGTCTCTCAAAACATCAGTTACCAGATCTTCGCCACAGTCGCCACGTTTTACGGACCACTCATTCTCATACTTGTCCTCTACTGGAAGATATATCAGGTATTTGTCGCGCAAATAGACTGTATGTTTGAATCGTTGTTATAATGGTTGATGTCGTGCCCTCACAGGTGGCCAGAAAGCGGATCCGACGAAAGCCCGGCAGCAAAATCGAGGTAAAGACGAGTCAATCGGAAGCGCCGATTGTGTTAAATTCAACCACTGATAGAATGGGAACTAATTCT